ATTATGAAAAAGAAGAAAAATTATAGTCGATTAGTTAAACATTTAAAGCATAAATTTAGATTGGCTAGTATAATATTAAGGAAATCTGACAAATCAAAAGTTTTTCATGTAGGTAGATTTGAAGATTACCAAAATAAATCAATGGAATATATGGATAAGACTCAAGCATATCAATGTCTTGGTACAAATGATCCATTACCTGATCTAGTTCAACGAACAAATAAATATCTACTAGAATTACGATTAGCTAAATGGATTACTCAAAAATAATATGAAAAATGATGTATTAATCCAAATGAAGTTGAACTTGCTCATTTATATTATTTACCGAAGGCACATAAACCTGGTACTCCTCTTCATCCAATAGTGTCTGGTTTTAAGCATCCAACAATTAAAATATCAAAATTTCTCGATGAATTACTTCAACCATTATTCGATAAAATGGCTACAAAAACAGTTATAAATTCTGGCTTTGAATTAGTCAAACAGTTGCAACAATGGTCAAGAATTAATATGCGTCAAGAAACTTTATTCTGTACTATTGATGTTATGGATCTTTATACAATGGTCCCACAGACAAAAGGAGTACTGTCATTAAAGAAAATGTTAGATCATCTTCAATTAAAACAAACGGGTGGTCTTAAAATTGAAACAATAATTAGATTGAGTTGATTTGTTATGCAAAATAATTATTTTTCTTATAATGGCCAATTTTATCATGAAATTCGTGGAGGAGCAATGAGTTCTCCTCTTACATTTACTGTTGCTAATTGTTATATATTCTTTTATAAACAACAAATTATAAAACAAATCAACAATAGTGGAGGATTATATTTTAGATATATTGATGATATTTTTATAGCAATTAATTGGCCTGCTCAATATTTATTTAAACAAATCAACAGATGGAACCATTTCGACGAAAATATCAAATTATTCGAAAATATAGGTTCAACAGCTGATTTTCTTGATTTGCATATAGAAAATCAAGATGGTTAATAATTTACTACAATTTTTCAAAAACCATCATATGAACCATATTATTTGCCATTCAATAGCATTCATCCATTACATATGAAGAAAAATATAGTATTTACTATGTTACTCCGCGCAATTAGATATTGTTCATCATTTCAAGTTTATATAGATGAACGTGAAAAATTACGAATGGCACTATTATTAATTAAATATCCTAATAAATTTATAGATGAACAATTTAATAATGTTTTAATTAAGTTAAACATTGATCAATCATTAAATAATATTAATTATAATATATTTCGTCAGCAAGTTATAAATGCTCCAATAAAGGAAAAAGTACCAGTAGACTATAGAAAGACAATATTTGTTCATTTTACTTATTGTTCAAGTATGAGGACATTTCCAGTAAAATTCCATGCGCTTTGGAATAAATATTTTGGAGGATCCCTTATTAATGAAGTCTTACCTATTCTTGGTACACGTAATGTTAAAAACTTGCAAAGACAATTAACCGTTACAAGATGAATAAAATGTTAAAGTTTTAGTTAGTATCGATTATCTGTTATGTTTTGATTTGAATTAACGTCGAGTTATTTAATATATGATATTGATAATATATGTTCTATCTGCTAACCAACGTCATACATATCAAATCATTATCAAATTCTCCTCATGCGCTATGTTAAATTATTATTATTTTTTAAGTTGATTCGATGAATTCTCTCATCTATTTGTTAATCGACGTCACATATATTACATTATTTGATGGCGAATTATTTGATATGTTC